TTAGTGACGTCATGTTCGCCATTTTCGCCTCAAAAACGGCAAAAGTTCAAACGCCGCTAACATCTTCATTTTTAAAGGAATCAAGACGTAACAAAAAGGTTATACGTAATTTTACTTTGTCTATCAAATGGCTATCTCGGTTTTTTGAAAATTTTGGATTTTGGCCTAAATTTTTTCAAAAAACTGATTTTTTTGGGAAAATTATTATAAAATCCAAAATTTTGAGTCTATCGAAAAAACTTCTCCGGAATATATGTCAGAGAAGTGGTCTATGTGCACCTACATACCAAATTTTAGAAGAATCGGTTCAAAAATGTGGGAGTTATTCAAAATTTTATGACGTCACGACACACAAAATTTTTGAAAAATGACTTTTTTGGAAGTTCTAGACCTCGTACGGAAACAAAAATAGCACCATTCGATTCGCCGTGAAAAACTGCATCAGATAGACACCTTTTTAGGCCTTAACAACCAACTTCAAAATTTGACCTCACTTGACCTGACCTTGACCTGACCTCGACCTGAAATTCATCCAGAGGTGGTCCATATCACTTATTGAGTGTGCCTATTGAATTCTATGAGTAAAATGACCCATAAAACATGTGTCGCACATGCCCTTTTCTATATTTTGTTTTTTGGTGACCTGACCTGACCTGACCTGACCTTGACCTTGACCTCTGAATGATATTGTATGCAACTTATATTGTCTTGGTAGCCTAAGAACACGTTTTGGGCGATAAGTCTCAGTCCATGACTCCATTCTTCGGCAACTACGGTGCAAGGCCGATACTGTAGAAACTTGCAATTTGTACCCTTGACCTGACCTTGACCTTGACCTCAAACTTTAAATTAAGTACATGTTTTTAGTAGTTCGTGATGAGAGCTTTCGATTGGCGTTTGAATTTTCCAAATCGGACCATTAGTTCGGGAGATAACAGGGGGGGTAAAATTTACCCCCCCCCCCCAGCCCCGCGCGTTCGGCTGGAGACCCCAGCCCCGCGCGGGTTAAGATGCATCATGTAACTTACCGACAATACAAGCAACGCTAATTTCAATGCATGTTTCACAAATCTGGGCATATTGCATTTATGAAGCCTCTGCGACAATTGCGCCGTGAAATTCCCGTGCTCTCGGCAAAGAACGCATCAGCTGACTGAGCCGTGAAATTTCACGTGAACTTTCCGTGCAAAGAACGCACCCTTGTTCTCCGGTGAATTTCAGACAAGTTGGTTAGAGGCCTTCAAAAAAGGTACAATCACTCGATTTTTCTCAAGTTTGTCTGTCTTGGCAGATAAAGCAATACCAGAACAGGCCTACGAACACACATAACTATTTGATCAGGATCGGACGATTGGACACTTTTAAAAGGAGATCTTTCGTGCCTCCCGGAAATTCACGGGAGAGCAGATGTGGGGTTTAAAAAATAGGTGTCGATATGCTCCCATCCAGAAGCACACCCGGCATTTCATATATGTAGTTCAACTTTTGAAATATGATACAAAAAAATGATTAAGAAACCAAGGCCTTGGCAGCGCTGTACAGATGGCTGACCGGTCTTCCGCGCCGTCCCCGACCAGTTAGCGTTCCCTTCAATGTCCGTCCTGCTGTAAAGGGGACGCTAACTGGCCAAAGTCCGTTGTGCTGTGTGCATACAACTGCTGTCCCTGCTGTGACGTCACACCCACCCCTCCGGCGGCGCCTGGGCGGTGTTTCACGGGCTGCTGCTACCACGCTGCTATCAAATTGCGCGAGCTGACGTCACACTTGTGGTAGTGTTGGAGCAATGGGCCTGTTGATGTCTCCATGGAAACCCAATTTGACAAGTCGTAAAATCGGCGTGCTGCTATCACTGGTGAAACAGGGCCCTGGAGGCAGGTCGGCGGCGGTCCCGCTTCACTGACGATAACATGTTTACATGGATGAAGGAGAACCTCTGAGGGCTGTTCACGGGCTCTGTGTGCGGTCGGACCGCACACAGCCTCCAAGCTCCGCCCACTGCGTCCCTACGTCAGCCTTCCGTCACCGCACACAGCGACCGCTGTGGCCGGTCAGGACCGGCCACAGGAAGCCGTCCACCGCACGCAGCCGTGACGTCAGAACCGCCTACCCATCCCCTACCCCTGCGCCTGCTGGACTCACCGCACACACCGCACGCAGCAGTGTGCGGTGCCCGTGAACGGCCATCCGGAATGGAAACTAACAGCTGATTGCCTTCCCTTCGGTAAGTGCCCGAGGGCACGGGCGGCGTGGGTAGCGAGGGGGATGGAGGCAGCGGGAGCCGCGTCTTGGTCTGCCGCGCATTCACTGGCGCCGCATAAGAAAAAAAAACACTCTGCCCCGCTGTGCAAGTCAGTGAGTGTCACCAAAATAGAACTAGGGGAGAGTGGGGTAAGATGCCCAGGGTGGGAAAGACGCCCCACCCCCTCTAGCGGGGAAACAAAGAATCGAACCTGGAAATTAATGTTCTTAGCGTAAAGCGGAAGCCTGCCTTGTTAACTGCACAAAAATTTGCGAAGCTCAGTTGGGCAACGGCTGGCTGGTGATTGCATGTTTTTTATTTGCTGCTTTCAAAAAATATTTTGGCGTCAAAACATTGTAAATATCAAAGAAGGTAGATAATTTTTGCGTCCCTTGCTATAGTCGTGATACATTAACCCGCGCCCTGCTGGGGGGTGTTTGAACACCCCCCCCTTGTGGTTTTTCGCGAATATCTCAAAAACGGCGGTGCGGAGCGCCGCCGTTTTTGGTACACCTTATCATACATCAATTCTACACTTTTATGTTGTGAAAATTTCAGACCAAGGTCATTCAAGGTCAGGTCACCAGGTCACTTGAAGTGACCTCACCTCATAAAAAGTTTCAATGTCTGTCATAGCTACACCGAGTGACCGATCGCTTTGAAACTTTCAGCGATTGCTAAGAGCAATAGCATGTACAAAATGTATATCTCAGAATTTTGATATCGATGACCTAAGGTCAGGTCAATTTTGCGACCTCCCCAGTACCTATAAGTCAATGGGAGAAAATTGAAATGCGTCTCTTTTGGATGAAAGACATTATAAACACTCCCAAACACCGAATTACAAGTGGTTTAGACACACTGAACATGAAAATGGTGTCCGTGACCCTTGTTTATGCCCTGAGGTCATCTTAGGTCACGAATGGTATCTAACAGTTTTTCGCAAATAACTTTTGATAGAGGCATGCTAGAGCGATGAAAACGCCTTAGATGTGTTCAGCTCGACGATACGGATCGACTGATATGCAACATGACCCTTTCCGGTCAGGTCATGACCTTGACCTGAGGTCAACTTTTCAAGTTGACCTTTCAAGGTCAAGTTATAGTTCATTCGATGCGTCTTGACGAGAGGAACACGATGCCGGTAAAAGTAAGCTCGTACAGGGCTTGGGTCAAAAGTTATTGCAGAAAAACTGTTTCCAAAAAAATCGGCTATTTTTGCAGTTTTTGCCCCCTGCAGGCAAAACCGTTGACGTTAGGTCAAATCTGAGAGAACTACTCAGAAAGGGCGTTAATAGGGCTATCGAATGCGCTTTTCCGCGGCGCTGTAGCTCTATTGGTTCCCGAGATATGCGTTGGCTTCTTGGAAATTTTCGCCATTCGACCTGGAAATCGGCGAAATTTTGCCTTCAATGACCTCTGGTCACCTGACCTTTGACCTGACCAAAAAATTGACCGAAGTGATTTCGTCATTATTTTTGACGCTCTTTCGAACGCCGCCTTCCGCGTATCGCTACGTGGCCCAGGAGCCGAGTTACAAGGGGGGGTGTTCAAACACCCCCCCCCCCAGCAGGGCGTGGAAATCCAGGACCCCCAGCCGGGCGCGGGTTAACATGCGTGTACTGTGTCCCAAACAGTTTGTTTCAGGGTGTAGTTTTATGGCTAACAAATTGTGCTGATTTAATGTTACTTCGGTACCTTGGGGTAAGATGCCCCTGTCCTGATGGGGAAAGACGCCCCCCCTAAATCCATAGGCTGTCCTTCAAGCAGCCCGTCAAATCATTTATTACATACTTGTGATGAGAGACAAAAGCCGATCTGGGACTATTGAGAGTCCGGTACGGTCGGGTGCTCCCCATGCCGGTCTCTCGGCCCACACAGCGACTTTTTGGGCGGCATCTGACTCTGAGAGCCCTCACGACGGCCTCTGTGGGCCCCATTATTGGTTCCAGGGCCCCTCACGACATCCTTTGAGGGCTCCCACGTTGGCTCCACGGGCCGCGCTGGCATCTGAGGTCGCCACGATGGGCTCGAGGGCCCTCAAGCATCATAAAGACCTATAAGGGCCCCACAGTGGTCTCCGAACGCCACCACGGAGGCTTGTTTGGCCGCGCTGGACTATGATGGCCCTAATGATGACCCCTGAAACCCCTTACGACTACTTTTGAGGGCCCTTACAATGACGTTTGGTGTCTACTGCAGGCTCGAAGGGACTACTGATTCGTTCAGGCGATTCACGTGCCTATTTTTGTCACTTATAGTGCAGGGGGCATCTTACCCAACGCCAGGGGGCGTCTTTTCCACCCTGTGGGGTAAGATGCCCCCTTTCACTTCTTCAGGAAAATGCTTAATAGCAAACAATTTTATCATTTTTCAGGCACGAAAGAGTGATATTTTTGGAGAAAAATGATGCCGGCTTCCGTTGAAACTCCAAGTTTTTGCTTTCCGATCGTCATTTTCGAATAATATATGACATAGTCAAACCCTGGGCATCTTTCCCCACTCTCCCCTAAACCTAATGATATTTTTCACCCAAGAATATTCGGAAACAGGTTCCTCGCCCTTTCTGTACCGTTTTCCGACTACTCTTCGGTAAAGGTATATTTCCGTGAGAATATTCGGAAACAGGTTCCTCGCCCTTTCTGTACCGTTTTCCGACTATTCTTCGGTTAAGGAATGTTTCCGTGAGAATATTCGGAAACAGGCTCCTGTTGTTGTTGTTGATTTTCCCTCCGGCCGCGGGTGGCCCCGCGGCGTAGCCTCATCGGCTCTGGAGGGCCCTGAAGGCGGCCACCAGGGCCGCCACCACGTCACTGCGCCAGACCTCGTCGGGTGTTGGTAGGATGTTCCCTACGGCCGGGATTCTGAGGCGAACACCCATCAGGCCCGGGCACGTGAGCAGGATGTGCCGGGGGGTGTCCGCCTCTTCGCCGCACAGCGGGCACCGGGCGGCCTCGCATAGCAGGTCCCGGCATTGGGCGCAGGCGGCTGAGGGGCTCCGGCCGATGGAGTGTAGGAGCTGGGTCGATCCACTCCAGTGGCCAGTCCGGATCTGGTGGACATCGATGGCTGCCCGCCGATCCAGGCCGGAGACTGGGGGCGGGTATCTCGTACCCATCAGCTCCCGGTACCAGCCGGTCGCCGCTCTGCGTGTCGGGTCTGGGTATGACGGTCTGTCCCTGGCCGCCTGGTCCCTGGCTAGACGGGCCGCAGCCTTGTAGATGGTGTTGACGTCGATGGAGGCGATTTCTTGTTCCAGCGCCGCCGCCTCTCCCGCCAGCACGTCCGCCGCCTCGTTGCCTGGGATCCCACAATGCGATGGGACCCACTGCAGCGTCACGTGGCGGTCCGGTGTGGCGATTTCCAGCAGGCGGCTCCATATCTCCGCCCCCTGGACCGTCCTCTGGGCCGAAGGCCCCTCTCTCAGTGCAGCCAGGGCAGACTGTGAGTCGGTGCAGATTATTATTGGCAGTGTGTCGTCACGAGGGTGTGTCGCCAGGTGTTCCAGGGTCATTGCGATGGCCAGCATCTCCGCCCTGAAGCTGGAACAGAGCGCTCCTGCGGGCCTCTTCAGCTCAGTGCGGTCATCATCGGCGTGGACGACCAGCGCGCCGGCCCCTCCACAGAGAACGCCTCCAGTCGCCGACCCGTCGGTCCACACCCAGGTCGCACATTGGGTCAGGGACGCCAGGTGGTGTAGGGCGGCTTCCTTCTTCGTGGAGGCGGCAGCTCCGGCTGGGAGCCCCGCTCCGATGTCCAGGTTGAAGCTGATCGTGCCGGTCGGTTGCCAGGGCGGGGGGCGCACGGGGAGCAGCGGCTCCACCGGTGGCTCCACTCCAAGGGTCCGCCACACCTCCCGACCCAACTGGCGCCATCCGCAGACGGTCTTGAGGCGCCGCGGTGGGTCCGCCACGGCCAGTCGGTGTAGCGGGTCCTCCTCGGGCAGTGCCATGGCCTTCGCCAGCATCCTCGCCGCCAGTGCTGTGCGGCGCGCCGCGACCGGGGGCACGCCGGCTTCGGCCATCACTCCGTGGATGGGGGTCGACCCGATGCAGCCCGTTATGACTCGGGCCGCGGCACGCATCTCGCGTTCCAGAACTCCTCGCTCTTTCTGTACCGTTTTCCGATTATTATTCGTTAAAGGTATGTTTTCGCGAGGATTATAAGGGCGACCGAGATGTGACCATGAAGGGCATTCCACTACACCTTAGACGTCAATGTTGTGTGCTACTACACACACAGAAATATTGAGCGGAAAAACGGTGTAATTGAAAGTACCAAAAGGAACATTTTTTTGGTGTAAAATTACTCTGCTTTCTGGGTAAAAGAACACGTATATGTGTGTTTTGCTAGCTTTGTAGTGCTTCACTATTGTGTAGGAGAACCGCTTTCAGTGTAACTTTACCGCGGATCTCGCGTTACATTTACGCACAAATATGTGTTTTTGGCAAAAAGTACCAAAAGGAACACTCGCGTGGTAATCGTACACAAATTCATGGCGGTAAATTTACACAAATATGACGGTTATTATAACAATTTTTTTCTGGTAAAGCTAATGTTGGGCCCGCAAAATTTGTAACGCAAGCGACACGCGGCGGGACGTTGTCGCCAGCCGCGAGCTTAGCTAAATGCAACGAAACATTGTGATGCTCAATGCCTACCCCATGCTGCAAACACGTTTGTTTGTTTGTCGTTTATTGTTAAGAATCGACATCACATCCGACGGAAATAAAAGTTAGATTATCGTATATACTTTATCATGTATATAAGCTGATATTTCACAACGCATGGGCGCCGCTACAGGCCGCAGCCACCGCCCGTCTCCCGTCAACTGCCCGAAATAAATAAATAAAAAATATGTCATCTGTACGCACTACTTCACTGTGCCAAAATTATCGTTCATTTAATTAGCCATCGGCTCTCTGTTGCCTATCTGGCAAAATATTAGCATACCTATGCCTAATTCACCCTAGAAAAGCATGAAAGTGCATCAATTATTTTCAAAACATGACAGTAGTTCAGTTGAAAAATTACAAGCCCACCTTAGCACTCCGACAAAGCTGGATGATTTCCAGCAGCTCCTCCAATGTCGCTCCGCTTCAGATTTCAGACTCGGTCTTGATTGCAGTTATTAGACGATGACCACAATGCAGTATTTCACTTATTATTCACTTATTCACTCATTACTCAGCTTATTATCGAACTAGATAAATACCACAGCACTGTTTTATCTCACTGATCGCACAAGAATGGGCAAACCCATGCTCTGCGCACTGCAGCCACAACACTCCCCCGCCGGCCCCCGCGGTCCCCGGCGCACAACTGACAGATTGCGAAAATGGCGCCGCCGCCGTCAGCATTTAGCTCAAAATTTCGCTAAATTTACACGGGTTGACGTAAACGAACGGTGCTCTGGATGTGTACCGCAATTACCAGTGCGACACAACACTCATTCGCGTATGGATACACTTGCTTTGCATGGAAACATATCAGTTAGGTATTTAAACATCTGTTGTGCTGTTGCATTATCCTGTTTTGCGTAAAGATGCTTGTGTGGTGTAATAAAACTGCCGATGTTTGTTAGCTAACCAATAAACGTCGTATAAAAACAAACTTATTATTGATGCCTTTACTTATTATGGCGTTGTGCGACGGATACCTTGCTTATTTATCACGAAAATACTTAAACTAAAGATATTTTACTAAGTGAAGCAGAACTTTGAAGTTATTTGAACTATTTACGAGTATATTGAACTTGACATCGCTCAATATTTCTGTGTGTGTAGGGAACGATCGTCCGAATTTGTTTCATTCAAATGCTACGTTCTCGACAAGATTAGTAAAAAAAGTCTCCTGATTATGATAACAACGTCACGAGACAAGCCGGGAATCGTCTATTATTTAAACCCCTTTAAAAGCAAAGCATTTAGCTAAATAATGGAATCCTGGAATACCGCTACCGCCCACCGGCATGTCAGCACGACCGCCTGGCACAACAGCTGACAGCCACGCGACAGCAGCCCCAACCTAATCTTGAAGAATATTGGCGGCGGCTGCCGGCCGTCTAATCGGCCGTATCCGTGTTCGTGCTGCATTCGTGTGATAATATTGCCACCGGCCTATTTCAATTACTGTGACTTACTTATGTTACGTTAAGACGTGTCCGTGCCCCATGCCAGCCTTTCCCAGCGCCCGTATAGGCACGAGCCACCGCCCGCAGTGACACCTCGTCGCTGAGGTGGCGAATGCTAGTACTAACCTCGCTCCCCAGATGACACTACCCGTCCGTACCAGGGGTGATACTGCACCGCAAGACACATTTAAGAACGGAGAGGCAGCTGCGGCCAGGTGGGTGACAGCACGTAATCGCCTGAGGCGGTCGGGGTAAAAATATTTTACCCTTGAATGCTGGATGCATGCACTGCGACTTTTTTTTAAGAACGAAAAGCGTGTAATTGACGTGTAAAGCGTGTAAAGGCGTGTAATCGACCGTATCCGTATTGGCACTCGTGCCGCATTTGTGTGACGTTAGCCGTTTTCACGACGGGCTATCCGGCGAGTGCACCTAATGTGACCAAATCTGCACCTAATCTCTTTTACAGCAAATATCTTAATTTTATGAATTTATTTCAGTGCTTTAATCGACGATACTCTGATAATATGACAAAGCAGGGGCATAAGCAATTGGTGCAGCCCTAGCTGATAGCTACTAAGAGACACACGGAACCTAATTTGACCAAATTTGCACCTAATCTGCACCAAATATGCACCAAACGTGTATATTTATCTGTATATTTGTCTGTCTTGGCAGATAAAGCAATACCAGAACAGGCCTACGAACACACATATTTGATCAGGATCGGACGATTGGACACTTTTAAAAGGAGATCTTTCGTGCCTCCCGGAAATTCACGGGAGAGCAGATGTGGGGTTTAAAAAAATAGGTGTCGATATGCTCCCATCCAGAAGCACACCCGGCATTTCATATATGTAGTTCAACTTTTGAAATATGATACAAAAAATGATTAAGAAACCAAGGCCTTGGTAGCGCTGTACAGATGGCTGACCGGTCTTCAGCGCCGTCCCCGACCAGTTAGCGTTCCCTTCAATGTCCGTCCTGCTGTAAAGGGGACGCTAACTGGCCAAATGCCGTTGTGCTGTGTACAGGTCTCGCGGGTTTTAAGCGTAGGTTTTGTCTTTCCGGCTATATCTTTTTCGTCTTCAGCTTTGAAGGCTTGAAGATGTGACCGATTTATTCGTATAACTCCCTTTCATGATCATGGAAAAAGTTTGATTGTATGCCGGCTAGTTTCGGAGAAATTAAAAGAAAACCTCAAAATTCGCCGTTTGGGGCATTCTGACCGCGGCTTCCCTGCAGTCGCCTATGACTACAGTGGCGCCACCCGACGAGTAGGACGCTGAAACACAGAGGCATGAATGAATCCAGCGCGTGCTGAAGGGTGGATAGAGGCGGGACTCGGCAGAGGCTATCACTGCGGCCCGCGCAGGGCGTCCTTGGACAGCGGGCGAGCCTTCGGGCGGTGAGGCCAGAGGTCATGACAGCCAGGCTCTGTTTGGCATGAAGGGAGGGGAGGCGCTCGCCTTAGAGCCAACTCGGCAGGTTTGGTGGTAGTGGTGGTGGTGTGGGGGGGGGGGGGGGGCGGCAGGCGAGAGGGGCTAGAACGAACGGGATAAAATATAATGGAAATGTCGTGCCATGGTCAACTTACAATATTGTTTACCTTATAAGCATGTATTAACATTACGAAAGAACCCACCATATTAAATTGAGAAATATGCCTACAGGAAATGTTATTTTTCGATGTTACCGCTTACGTTTAATGGAAACCCTACTATTACGGGTGATAAAATGAGCCCCTCCCCTCGGTTTTTCCTGAATAACTCGCGTAAATAGTGGCGGATAACAGCGAAGCTTTCAGTGCCGTAAGTTATTTTTCTCACCATAAGTAAATAATACCCATGCGGTCAGGAGTCAGGATAAGTTCAGGCCATCTGCAATTAAAAGTTTACATCTACCCTGAAAATTTCATGACCCTGACCAAAATGACCTTTGGTCTGTGACCAGTTTTTAGAGTCCATTACAGGCCAGAATGGGCATTCGGCGTGTCAGGTCTCATTAACCGTTCGTTTCCAGACTTGTGATTAGAAACATCCCAACATTTGAAATTGTGTTTGGTCCCTTCACCTTGTGTCTTATTTGGCCGGGACCAGCGCAGGAACTTGGCCGTTGCCTTCAGGACTGCTTAACAACAAATTTGCCGATCTGCGGAGCGCATGGAGCCGACCTAGCCAGGTTGAAAACCACTAGGAATGACATTGCGGCACAGCTAATCTTCAAGGTTTCCGCGCCCCTAGAATATCTGCTTTTTAGCTGCCGGTTCCGGTCACATGGCCTAAAGGCGAGGTCACTAGCGATGGAAATGGAAACACGTTGAACAGGCTAGTGAGAAGGATTCACGTTCATTTTAAATCCGCGCATTGTCGCTTAATACCTATACCGACCGTTTTCTAAAGAGGCTAATTTCTCTCTCTCTCTCTCTCTCTCTCTCTCTCTCTCTCTCTCTCTCTCTCTCTCTCTCTCTCTCTCTCTCTCTCTCTCTCTCTCTCTCTCTCTCTCTCTCTCTCTCTCTCTCTCTCTCTCTCTCTCTCTCTCTCTCTCTCTCTCTCTCTCTCTCTCTCTCTCTCTCTCTCTCTCTCTCTCGCCCTCTCTCTCTCTCTCTCTCTCTCTCTCTTTCTCTCTCTCTCTCTCTCTCTCTCTCTCTCTGTCTTTCTGTCTCTCTGTCTCTCTGTCTCTCTGTCTCTCTCTTATACCGAAAGCTCCATAAAAGCTCACGACAAAAACTTTAAGGCAGGTCTAGACCCCTCCGACTATTGGATCATTAAACTGACTTGGAAGGTCAACGTATGACCTATGGTCAACGAATGACCTATGATCTATAAATTGGGTATCATCAGCTTCCTCTCGTCACGTGCAACATGCTCCTTCTTTTCAAGAAGCTCTAGTTTGATCAAAAGCCGATTAACTGTGGGGTCTGATCCATCCCCCATCCAAACGTTAGCGCC